TAGCATCGTTACAGCGTGTTTTATTTTTGTCATTATCATTCTCCTAACACATTTTTACAGCAACAGTTAAATTATAGGAGCTGTTAGTGCCACCCTACTAAGATGATGAAGAATATTTTCATTTATACATTTATTTGGTTTTGCCACGAATTTTCTGCTTTAATCGAAACGATCTAGTCAGCTTTCGCCAGATTGGTAGAGCACGATGTGCTGCTGCTCACCGCACATAACTGCATTTTTACTGTCTTGATCGCTTCAGGCGATTTTGATAGTTTTCATCACTTCGGGCGCTGTCAAATTTTTATTTGAGCTAGCTTAGTGGAACCGAATCTCTTTATCTTCGTCTTTTTCCTTCTTTTCTTGCCTGCCTTGGTTAGGTTATTTGAAGCGCCGATGCTGTACGGAATGAAATCGAAGAAAGAAATTAAAATAGGGTAATTACGAAAGTAATAAAATGATAAACGGAGGAAAAGTGAAATCACTCGGACAAAAAATAAGCGACTGAAAAGACTCAAAAAATGGTATTTGTCTCATTTCCCTTGTGCAATAACTGTCTCGCATCATTTTTCTTAGCGTTCTCAGAGTTCGTACATTCATTTTTCCAACAACTGATTTTGTCGTATTTAATTAAGCGTTTTCTCTAATTATAAAAAAATTTCTTGTTGAGTTAATTCGGCTATTTTGAGATGCCAAAATTAATGGCGGACTTGCCCCCTTGAACTATATTGTCTTTTGAAAAACGAAAACACTCAGAGTTAACCGGCGTTATTGATAACATTTTTCAAAACATGTTCTTACGAACTAATTAATCTTACGTTGTTGTTCCCATCACATCCAACTTTTAGTTTTTTTTTTATTTATTTTTTACAGCTGTACAATATCATAGTGAAGAATGCCCAGACGGGACGAGATTTATTGAAGAATGGTCGATTAGCTCAACGCGTCACGATTCTTCCGCTAGATAAAATCGAAGGCCGAGTACTGGATCATCGCAAACTGCAGCGAGCACAGAGCTTGGCTAGTTTTTTTTTTTTTTGTTTTAGCAAGCGGTATTTCTCAAATTTTTGAAAATTTGGGTTTCATCAAGTCCACTTAAAATGGTTACTTGTATGCTGTCGCTGCTGTCCTCTCTTAAAAAAATTTGCTACATCGGTTTCCGGAATTTAGGACCTCAAGAGTCCTGTCATCTTCGTTGGAAAACTTGGACGCGAAAATTTCCAACTGAAAAAAAAAACTGTAAGGTGCGGGGATGAGTGAGTGGACGTGGGGGAAGGGGGGCCGGGGATACCGCAGACCTCTCCTTCAGATTTTTTGTTAAAGATTCTGAAAAAAAGTTCCAGTGTTTATGGAACTCACAAGCTGAAGTGAGTGTTTCGTGAAGACTAATCTTCAGTCAGTCTAGTGTGCTGTGAAGGAGCTTAACAGCTAAGTTCGTCATGAATTTTGTGAGCTTCGGAGCCTACGCAGAAACTCTGCACATATCTGACGTAAATGGATACGAAATTGCTTAAAATATCGCAGTATTGAGTTTAAATGCAGCTTAGTCCTTCTCCCTTTTTCCTATTAAGCCTCTGTCAGATTACTTCAAGTTACGATTGCTGTGCGTTGTTGCTGCTTCTGGACGGAACGGAGGAAGCCATTTCATCCATCGTTTGATTGCATTTTAAGGTTTTTTTGCAACTTAAACTTGGAAAAAAAGAATTCGAATGCATTGACCGCCACTCAAATAGAATTACACTGAAAACTCTTTAAGTTAATTGTTCTGTTGTAGTCAAAAGCCTGCTTCCGGGCGAATATTGGAAGAGGAAGCTATTGGCTGCACTGCTGATACGTGTTTACTATTGACAGTGTGTCGAAACTCACCAGCAGTTACTAAAAATTGACTTAGCCACCCAAAATGCACTAGTTTAGGGACTGCGAAAAACACAGATGTACCTAAGTGCCAGGTTTTTCTTCTAGGGAAATGGTACAGTACAAGTTCAAGTTTCCTAGCTTTAACTCGATATCTAGTTTTGACTTAGCACCATAAACCAATATGAAATCCTCGCACTCATAATCCCTGTCCAACTTTCCAGTTCCTACCTCCAAGCAAGTTCTCAGATTTTTTTCTGTAAATATACCAGCTCCGTAGCCTCTGTTATGGCTCCTCGCGACCTGAATCAACGTCCCCAGATTTCCCCGTGCCACCCATCTCTACCCCTCCATTCCTCCTTAACGTCTGAAGGGCTTATCATTTCATCGCACTATACTTTTCTATCTACCGCATTTCAACACAAATTTCTAACACCTTGCCTTCTTTAATCTCCTTTTAAACTCACTGTGGCGAAATGGGGCACTTTTTGCACTGATTCTGCTGTCTGTGTTTACAGCTCAGGGACAAAACACAGACAGGACACCAAGTTACAGCATATACAGGCTTGCCTTTATGGGACTTGTAAATGCATTTTGGTGTTTTCATTAATTATCAAAATTCGACTGTGTTCCTCTTTACGGTGGGCCAGCAACGCCAAACAAACTGCATATGTTAAAGCACAGACAATCGCAGGCCTCCGTCCTCTTCCATTCTCCTAGTCAGGGATATTCATTATTTATATCTTTAAAATTTCTATAACACTTACCCTCTCCTCGGCCTCTGCCCTCCTTCCTTTCAAACCAGCGGAGCCGAGTTCTAGTGAGTGCGCGTGGGATTAGATGCGATTATTACTTTGGACTTGATCGGGTTCTTTTGCTCTCCACCGCTCGTGAACAGTGTCTCAGAAACCAATAAATCCAATTGAGTGAGCTAAACTTATTTGATATTTTTAAAGAAGTTTCGGCGTATATGTAGTTTTCTGAGCAGCGGCATATGCATTATTTTTTCGCAGGAAGGGATCCTTTCTGAGATATTCACTGAGGCATTAAATTAGAGAAAGTTTTTTACTTTCGCAATGGCTCTGCTTTCTCCTTAAAAAGGCATTTTTTATAATCAGGAGAGCGTATGTTTTTTCTACTTACGCTAATTTTTTGGGCGTTTTGAACAATGAAAAAGAAAATAGAAAATTTTAAAGCATTCCTCTTTATTTTTTAAGGAAGTTCTAAGCCATGGGTAGCTTTCATTTGCGGTTTACAGCAGTTCTGTTGCAAGTAGGAGGTAACGGAAGTCTCACGCTTTTCACACAGAATTTTCCAGGTTGGCAAGGAAAACGTATTCGTTGCGAAGGATCTGATCGAATATGCAGAGGAGCTGGAGCCAGCAATGCGCCATGTATTTGGCAATGTTTTTGTATGCACAAGCGATGATGATGCCAAAAGGGTATTGGCGCTTTTCTTAATTTTTTTGTTTTTCCAACATCTAATTTGTTCCAAAAATTTTTGTTACCGTACCTTTTACTGTCTGCGAGAGAGCGG